CATGCCTTTTTCTTGGAATTATTTTCGTGGTGCGTAACACGGAAATCTTCTCGGGCTGATGGCCGGGCTGGCTGGAAGGGAGGGAGCGGGGGACGGGAAGGCCAAGCGTTTTCTTGCTGTCGTTCCCCCCATCTGGAGTTACTCGGGGGGGCTGCCAGGCCCAGGGCTGGCAGATGGGAGAGCCCCGGACTAAGTCCAAACAGAGGAACACCCCAGCCCGCCCCGATCCCGGCCAGGCGCCGGTACAACCCTGCAGTACCGCTGGGTTGAAGGGAAAAAAGAAAAAAAAAAAAGTGCTATTGGGAAAGGAGTCAGGTTTCTATCGGGGACGTCCAAGAATTTATTATAAACAACAGCGAGGAGGAAACGTTAGTTTCTAAATGATGACAAATGTTCGTCTCCGAGCGTTTGCGTGAAATCGTCAGGCGGGCCGAGCCCCAGCGCTGGATGGGCTCCCTGTGAGGCGGCCGAGCTGCTTGGCGGGGGGCTCGCTCGCTCGCTCGCTCTCCTCCTTTTTTATTTTTTTGCAAAGAGGAAGAACTTCTTTGACTGAGCAGCACTGATTTTCGCCGCTCCCCCCACCGCACTGCGCCCAGACCCCCTCCCGGGCATTACATCACCAGCGATGACCAAGCATCGAGGCAGGAAACGAGCTCCGATCCAGTGACGTGATCCCTCAAGGGAAGCCAGGCCAAGAAACAAGAAGGCATTGTTCTTTTTGCCCGTGGAAAAAAAGCCAAAAAAAAAAAAAAAGGAAAAAAGGAGGTGGAAATAAAGAAGCACGTTCAAAACGCTCGTGGTGCAAAAAGAGTTGCTGACCCAGCTTGCCTGAAGCTAACGGAAAGGCTCTCGCGGCATCTCATGGGCTTCCCTGCAAGGCCGGTGGTGTGGGACAGGGGCCGGACTGACTGGGCCAGGCGTCCAAAGGTGGCAGAGGAGGCTGGGACCTGGTTGAGGCTTCTCTTTTGCAGCCAGGGTCAGCGTGATCCTGATCCCAAGAAGCCTCCGATTCTCTGTGCTTCATCCTCTTGATGAGCAACATCTGAGGAGACTTTGGGAGGAAATGGCTCGGTGGTCCTGGGAGGAGGCTTTGGGAAATTGGAGGCAGTGGGAGGTGAAAGGATATTTCTGGGAGGAGAGACCTATTTCTTGTGGCCATGGGGCCAGCCTGGGTCAGGGTTCAAGTCAGGCTCTTTCGCTGCCCATGAGGGGCCTGAGGAACACAATGCTGGGTCCAGCTGAGGTCTATCACGGTTTGGGAAGCCAAGGGAGCCTCCGCCTGTCCCCAAGCTCGCTCCAAGCTCTCTCCAGCCTCTCCTGGCCACCTTGCATCACTGCCGCCTCGGCCAGGCTGCGTCCCTTCCCAGCAAGCCTGCATGCCCAGAAACGGGGGGTTGCTGGTGGGCCAAGGTACGAGCACTCAGGGATGCTGTTGTGAAACCACAGCTAGCTAACAATCCTTCCTTTAATAAATAAATAAATAAATAAATAAATAAATAAATAATGAAAATAACAGGACGACATCTCCTTGGCAGGGACTATCTGGAGTTTACTTTGTCTAGTCCCAAAATATAAGACTCTGAGGGCAATGTTGGAAACAAAAAGGGCAGAGGAACAATAGCACTTGAGGCCAAAAGCCGGGTTCATCTCCTCTTCCACAGGCCTCGCAGCTCTGCTGTGGGCTAGATGTGAGCGCAGGGTGCACAAATCTGCCCTTGGCCTCCCTACTCCTGGAGCCCAAGCATGAGATCTGGACTGTTGCCTGGAGAAAAAGAGATGAAAACTGCTGATTTCCAGGTCCTCACCTCAAAGAAAAGCTTTAAAGACATGACAAATGTGACCTGAGCAGAGTGCATTCTCCCTGAGTCTGCAGGCAGCCTGAAGGTCAGCTCCTGGGAGCCTGTGACTTGGCTTAGCCCACGATGCAGTAGGTGTGAGCAAACTTACCCTGTTGCCCGCCGCCCTGGGCCAGGACTCGCTCTGCCGCTCGTGGCTGAGCCGTGGTGCCCAAGTCAGGCTGGTGCAGGAGACGTTTGGCCAAGGCATGGCACGATTCACCTCTCCAGCCATCCTGAGTGAGCAGAGCATCTCGTTTCATCAGGACCCTGCTTGGGAACAGTTTGGGACGAAGGGGCCGTCCTGGGTAGGGGGAGACGGTGAGCTTGCTGCTCTCTGAGCCTGGGCATTGGTGGTTTAAAACAGGACTCAATGATGCTTTCTGAGGCCCTTACACAAGCAGCTCTCATCACTACTAGGTGTGGGAAAGGCAAAAGAGAAACGGATCATGGGATACCCCTTTCCCAGTATCATGTCACCCCTCCATCCCTGGCTGCCGTTCAGGTAGGAGCTGATGGCACGGCGAGTCTGGAAAGGAGGAAACCCAATAATCCCTCGCCCGTCTGATGGGTAACACGGCCAGCGAAGTCTCTCATTTAATCAGTTCCAGGAGGACGGGTTAAGCAATGCAGCTTTTGAAAATGCAAGATTTCGATTTGCCAACAAAAGCCGTGGGGTTGGGGTGGGGAGGGGGAAAGAGGATTTTCCGTCTTTAGCTGAAATTAAAAAAACATGCCTATCACCAAAGCAAACCTTCCCAACGAGGTCAGGGCCGGCTGCCTCCGAGTCTGGGAATGCTGTCAGGCGTGCACATGCAAGGAGACCCTTGGTAAATTGAGGGTAAATCACTTTGTCTGCCAGAGCCTTTTCTCAGGACTGTCTTACCTCTTCACAGGCCTCCCTGACTTGGTGCCGGATCCAAACTACGTCCAGGCCTCCACCTACGTCCAGAGAGCTCACCTCTACTCCCTGCGCTGCGCCGCGGAGGAGAAGTGCCTGGCCAGGTAGGAGCATGGTGGTGCCGGGGCAAGCGGCCAGTGTGCGCTGCCTGCAGCGGGCTGTGGGTCTGGTTTGAGCATGGGATGGCTTGGTAGCAGCTCCTGCAAGGGAGCTTCACCTGCTCATCCGCCAAATATAATCTCGTTCATGGTAGTTGATGTTATTGCACCCAAAAGCAGTATGCGCCCTGGTGCCTGTGCTCAATCAACATTTGGCGATGAGCCTGCTCAGGGCTTGGCAGCCCTGCAGCCCCACCGCACATGCAGGACAGACAGCAAATTTAGCACCACATAAACCGAACAACTTAGTGAAGCATCTGCTAATTCCTCCGGCTTGTCGCTCATGGTGTAATCCCTCTCCCCCGAGGGGTGTAAAAAGAGAGAAAATACTTGCGCTCCACCTTTCCTGCTTGGAGCAAGAGGGGAGACCTTGAGGCTCTCAGGGAGCTGGGGCCGCTGTGAGCTAACAGGGCATGGCCAGATGCTAGGAAAAAGTGAAAAGGGCTGATGTGAGAAGAGAAGAGAAGAGAAGAGAAGAGAAGAGAAGAGAAGAGAAAAAGAGAGAAAATACTTGCGCTCCACCTTTCCTGCTTGGAGCAAGAGGGGAGACCTTGAGGCTCTCAGGGAGCTGGGGCCGCTGTGAGCTAACAGGGCATGGCCAGATGCTAGGAAAAAGTGAAAAGGGCTGATGTGAGAAGAGAAGAGAAGAGAAGAGAAGAGACAAAAAAAGTTGTTTGGCAGGTGCAGGCTGGGAAGAGGGGGAGCACTTCTCTCCTGTTATTATTATTTTTTCATAATCTGTTTTTCCACTAAGGAAAATCTTCCTACAGATTTATTTGCTGGGGATTTTTTTCTCTCTTCAACCCGCCCGTCTGAGGTCTGCTGCCAGCCACCGCTGAGCTGCAGAAGAGCCAGCTGCTCCAGCCAGCTTTCAGAGAGCCGTCCAGCATCTCTGCAGCCTGGGTTGGCAAAAGGGCTGTGTCTAGCAGGCACTTTAGGAAAATTTGGCATCCCGGCTATCTCCTTCTAGGAGAGCAGCACTCAGGGAAATCCAGCCTCCTTTAGGGATACTGAGCTCTTCGGGACCTTCTCTCCCGTGGCGAAGCCCAGGCAGACCTGAGCGCTGAATCAGGGGTGCTGCCGCACAGAGGTGCCGACTGCGCCTCTGTCACTGTCGGGAAGGGATGTCCGGAAGGGTGGGTGGGCAGGGTGGCCAAGGATGCACAGCCTTCCCTGGCTCCAAGGGTCATGACTGTCCCCCCTTTCTTTCCCTGTGCCCAGCACCGCCTACACCGCCGAGGCCACTGACTACGATGTGCGGGTGCTGCTGAGGTTCCCACAGCGGGTGAAGAACCAGGGCACAGCGGACTTTCTTCCCAGCCGTCCCCGGCACAGCTGGGAATGGCACAGCTGTCACCAGTGAGTGGGGACCCGTGGGCAGTGGGAAGCAGAGGTAGTGTGTCAGGGGCTTCGTTGAGCACTCGGCTGGATCAGGGCCCAGAGCTGCTGAGCCCCTGCATTTCATTCATGGGCTGGCTCTCCTAAATGTCCCCATCCCTCCTCCTTCTGCTTATTTCCTCACTCCCTCTCCCCTGCCATTTTAACAGCATTTTCCCCTCTTCTCCTTTTTTGTTCCTTTCTTTGTCTCTCTGCTTCTCCAAGATTTTTGATCCCCTTGCATTGCCCATCTTCTTCCCTTCTTTGCCCCAGTTACCACCAAGCTCCTGCACTTATGTCCTGCAGGCTAGCTTAGACATGGGGCCATAGGGGACCCGGGGGTGTGGAGCTGCTCCCAGCCCCAGCATCTTCCCAAACACATGGCCAGGGAGGGGTGGGGGGGGGGGGAAGGGGGGTGTTTGGGGCACAGTCACCCTCCTGCTGGCTTCCCCCCAGGCACTACCACAGCATGGACGAGTTCAGCCACTATGACCTCCTGGATGCCACCACGGGGAGGAAGGTGGCCGAGGGCCACAAGGCCAGCTTCTGCCTGGAGGACACCACCTGCGACTTTGGGAACTTGAAGCGCTATGCCTGCACGTCGCACACCCAGGTGGGCTGGGGCGAGTGGGGCCTAGAGGAGGCTGGGAGGAGAGGGAGATGCTCGACCAGAGGCTACAGAAGACCCACCTCGCTATTTAAGCCATGGTTAAGACATCACCTCCGCCGACCGGAGATGCTCGAGGGGCACCGCAGGGCTCCTCAGCCTCCAAAGCCAGGCTGCCTCTCTTCTTCCCACAGGGCTTGAGTCCGGGTTGCTACGACACCTACAATGCCGATATCGACTGCCAGTGGATCGACATAACAGACGTGCAGCCGGGGAATTATGTCCTAAAGGTGAGTGCTGTGGCTCGCCAGGGAGATTTCCAACCTCTCGCGGGGAGATTTCCAACCGTTATAAATTCGGGGGTTGGTCTGGGTTCTCTCAACCAGCTGGTTTGGGAAAGTCCACCTTTTTTTTTGTATATGTTCACACTCACACTTGAGACACCAGCCTAAAAAATGGATGGAAATATGGGTTAAAGAGCTCCCCTTCACTCTCTGGGGATACCAGATGCTCTTTGGGGGTTTAAACATTTCGTGATCTCTATGTCTCACCTTCTCAGCCAGGAATTACCCTCCCTCAGCTGAGCTGCTGTAACGCACCCAGTAGAGCTCCCCATGCTGCCATCTTCTTCAACACACATTGGGCATGTGGGCACTTAGCTCAAACTTAGCATTTTGCAAAGCTTTTTAACCACAGGAGCACCTAATCTTTTTATTTCACTGAAAAAGCACTTGTTTAATCTTTCCAGGGGGAAAACCCCCTCTCCCACCTTGCAACAATTGGTTTTATTTCTAGGAAATGGGACAAAGGAAAAGGCTCACCTGTGGCAGCCCCTCCGTTACCCCCTTCCCCCAGCTCTCTTTGTTACCTTGCCTGCACATGGGAAGTGTGTACCTGTTTTTAAAATAAGAATAACTGAATGCTGCTGTTTGGTGGGGTGTGAGCCCCAGACTGGGACATGCTGATGTTATCCCACAACGCATGGCCATGATGCGTTCATCAGGGAGCCCTTCTCTCCCTGTTCCCTGGAGGGGAATTTTTTCCGTGATTATTAATTTTTAAGGGGTGCCATTTCTCACCTTTGTCCCTTAGGTCCAAGTGAACCCCAAATATATCGTCCTGGAGTCTGACTTTACCAACAACGTGGTGAGGTGCAATATTCACTACACGGGACGCTACGTTGCCACGACAAACTGCAAAATTTCCCAGTAAGGAAATGCCCAAGCGGGTCTGTCTCTGTCTGTCTGTCTACTCAGGCGCCCACCTTTTCGTTGGTCCGCATCCCTCTCGTCCATCATTTATCCTCAGCATCAGAGAACATGAGAAAACCAGAGACAGGACATGGGGTGGAGCAGGGAGAGGTTTGTCTGTGAATTGGGGTCAGGGACGGATGAAGAAAAATGGGTGGAAAGACTGCAGGAAAAGCAAATCTCTTACAGAGGCTAGAGCTAAAGGGTCTTGGAGCAGCACTGGGGATTAGAGTTAGCATTTCTCAGTGCCAGCAAAGCCCACATGAAGGGGTGGAGGAAAGGTTTGCCCTGAGCAGCGCCAGGGAGGCGCAGGGAGCGCCCGCAGCTTTTGCAGCTGCTATTGAGCTAAGGTCCTGCCCAGACTGGGCTCCTGCGAACCGGGAGCAGATGCTTGGGGGACAAAAATAATGCTAAAGTAAAGATAGGGCTCTTTGCCCAGTGATATGCTAGTAGCTTCAGCTACCAGCGCATCAGGGGCTTCACACGCTGGAAGTTGCCTCCAGGGAAATGTCTAGTGAGCCTTTTGCCTAGGTTGCCCCAGCTGGCCAGGAGGCTCCTGCAGCCACGAGTCCCACACCTGAAATAGGTGCTGCGTCTGCCAAGCCCTGTTGTCACCTCTCTGTCTGCAGGCTGCCGGGGCAGCGGTTGGCCCTCCGG